AAGAAACGAAGTGGAAGATGTACCTTTGAAATTCGGTTCTGGTTTTTTTGACATCAATAACTGCTAACCCCCTCACTGTTGAAAAGTTAAAGAAATAAATCCCATCACCCTTTCAAAAGGAGTTCCTTTCTTGGTTTTTTGTCAACGAAACGAAATAAGAACTTTCCTTCCAGGGATAATTTTTTGGGGCGTTTGGCCGCACTCATTTGAGGATTTTTCTCTCGCTGCCTCCAAACAAATATGTTGAAAATTGTCGTCAATGTTTTCAACTCATGCTAGGCCTCGAGGGCGTTCTTGGCTCTTTGGTAGGCCTATGAAAACATTTCAATTTATTTTGGATTTGTTTTCTTTTTAGGAGCAGGTTTTTCTGCCTGATTTGCTCGTGAGAACCTGTTAATTAATTCTTGTTGTTTAGGTTTTGTTCTTGCTAAAAATGTATCTTTATTTTAGCGCTTCTGGAATGCGGTTGATGTCCATTTTTGCTCAGGTATTTTACGTCTCGCTTTTTATTTAAGAGATTAAGTCAGTCATTTGAAATGATTTATTTTTTGCTTTTTAATTACTGAGCTCTTATTAATGTAACTGAGAATATTTGTGATAATTCAATTTTCTGGCAGAAAGTTTTTGAAAAATATGTAAATCTTACCCAAAAAATATTTAAAACTGAGAATGGACATTTAAACGTTATCTTATTTAATAGCACTAATAGGCTCTAATCTTTCCTGAATTTATCAAATTATGGCTACAAATGCTTGAATTTATAATCCAAGATCGAAAGCACTTTTATTTTTTTCCTTTTGGAGTTTGGCCAGTCAAACAATGTTCTAGTGATGAGACCTTTTGAGACATAATACAAAAAATCACACAAAAAGTATAGAAAGAATTTCAAAACATCCGAATTTTCGACATCATGAAATGAAAAGATATGATGTTCAGAACGTTATGTTTCTCTCTGCTTACTAGGGCAAGCAGGACAAACGTTCTTTTCTTGTATTTAGGGAGCAATTGCTTAGTTTTATGGTATGGTGCGGAAGCCTGGTTCACACTGGAGATTATGACTGTTGGGACACTGACATGTTAGTTATATGCAAAGTATTTTGTCTTTTTCAACTCTATTCTTTTATCTTAATTTCACAATTGACTGAGTAGATTAATATTAGATTAGTACCAGCGCGCTATGTTAAACACACCCTTGTTTTCTTGTGACGATTGTCTGTCTAATATAATCATATATAGCTCAATGGTATAAGTATTGTTCTTAATAATTATTATTTTCCATCAAGATGCATCCCTTGATGTTATTTATTGTTACCAATATAAATCTTGTAAGGGCAACAGACATTCCAGACACGCAACACACATTCTTTTTGGAATGTCTCAAGTAGTCTATTCAGTTGTATTTCTAGCCAGAAGTCTTATTTCTTATTTTTCAAAGGTTCCTAAAATAGTTTGATTGTGAACATGTTTGCGTAATGACTTAAGATCATCGAGTGTATTATATTTTTTGAGAAAGGATATAGGTTGGTACTACATGTAGGCCGACCAGTTCAGAAAAACACGTGACCTTGCTACTCATGTCATGTAACAAAGGTTTGTGGAAAACGAGATGAAAAAGTAGGTTTCTAGAAAAATCTGCAAATTTTGGCCCTTTGATTTGAGCAGATTCAATGAAACAGTACCAGGCTTTATTTTGTGCCAAAAACGTGTAATATGACTTGCTTGCCTGAGTCTTGAGCCGCCTTTTCTGTCATTGTTGAAAACCATAGTAACTATGCTGTTGGCTGCGTAAATGTTGGAAATATTGGTCTGTTGCAACTGATGTTAAAGGCAAAACGAAAGACGATGTCCTTGGTCATAGCTCATTTTAAGAAACATTTTGAGCATATTGCCAGTTTGTCTCTCATCAAACAGAGATCTCTCATATTTCTTCTTTGCAAGCTGACCGCAAATGCTTTGCGAGTGTATTTGTAAGCCGAAAACCTTAATTAGACCAGAGGGTGGAAGGGGACCACCACCACCCGACGGAGAATTTATGAGACCAATTCTATTCTTGGTTCAGTTTTTTGCGTGATTTCGAATTGGGTGTGTGATCAGCGGAGTTTAAGGGGCGGCTTTCCCGGAGATATGGCAGGTCTAAAGACAAATTTTGGGCGTTAATTGCTACCAAATTTGGTTTCCTCAATATTAAATTTCATAAGATAAAGATAGATATGTTATTTACTATTCTATGATTGTTGGCTGATTATTTTGAAAGTGTTTTTCTATATTTAGAATTTAAGGGAGGTGTTAAAAATTAAATTTTTTTCCAAAAGAAAAAACATTACTGTTTACAATATATGAAATATTATCAAGTCTACCCAAAAATTATTCATTCTTCATCCTTAATCCTCGACATATATCAATTGCCTCTCTTAAGTCTTCCACTCTACAAGATCGCAGCCTCCACTAAGTAGTTTCGAACATCCTCTGGATTTTGCGAAAGAATTCATTAAACAGACTTAGAAAAGTCACCTTTCCACACGTGGTGTACTTGAGCCTTCTTGCCTCTATCATTGGTTAAAGGCTTGTTCTAGCCAATATGTGCAATGTAAATTGCAACGCTTGATGTATCTTAAGGCTGTTTTTGCATGGTGGCTGCCAAGAGAAAGTCGTGATTTTTGGACCCTTGAAAAAATTTTCCAAAAATTTTCCGTTGAATATCATGAACAGACGATAATCTCTTTTCTCAAACAACGCACCACGTAAACCTTTCCAAATACCCCCAATTACATAATTTATAGGATTACTTTGATTTGCCCCTAGCTTTGCGAAGTTGTGACGAATGCTTTTGTGCCTTGCATAAGCCTTCCAACCTTTACAAAAAAAAATACCTACCTACCTACCTCCCTTTTCTACCTTCCTCCCTATCTACTTACCTACCTTACCTCCCTATTCTCCCTTCTACCTACCTACTTACCTAGCCACATACCCACCATCTATCCATCTACCTTACCTGCGTTCCCGGACATCGAGCAGCCCACTTCATGTACACACTTTCGACATGGGAAATAACAAAATATAGTCATTTCCACTAAATGCTGCAAGCCAAAGCGGGTGCTTCTTTTTGATAGGCCGATATTTCACAACAGCTAGAGCGAAGATTTTTCTATTTTTACCTGTTCCACATCAATAAATATTTTAGAAATGAGGTTCCTTTGCCTAGCAAGCAAGATAACAAGGATGATTAATATATTATATATCTCCAAAACAAGAAACGCAAATCGTTTCTCGACCTTCGTTTTGTGGAGAGCATGATGTTAGAAGGAAGCAAACTTTAAGCTAGTGATATTATTGCAGCGATTATCTATATATATTTTTTTCTCTTTGCGGAAAAATTGATTCACTCTGTTCCTAAATGACAGCCTTGACGAACCCATACTTCTTTAAACCCAACTCAAGCAACCGCTCTTTATTCATGTCTTTTCCTCAGAACGCAACGAAAGTTTAGGAGAATCTTTATGTTTGCGATTTTGATGAAGGAAATGGTGTCTGCATTCCTTTGATGAACAATCGGCATGTTCGATGCGAATATATTACACAGTTGTATTGTGTCCGTAATTCATTTCAGCAACTCGTTGCAAGCCTCCTGAAAGTGTCCGGTATTCTAACTGTAGATCGAATGGTGGCACCCAATAATCAACAACAAAGCAAATTGCCTATCTCCTTCTTTCCTGTTCTTCATAAGGCTGGTAACTGTGGTATTTATATGTGCCTCATTACTTCTAATTTCCTGAGCTTCACGGAACAGCGAGGAAGGGGATACTATCACGAACTCGGCTTCTTAACCCCTTTTTAACTTAGTCTGCTTTTCTCGTTAATGAAACATAACATTCAATAAGTCTTCATTGCAACGGATCGGTTTCATGATTTGTATATATGAACACACAGGAAGAGTCAGCCTTACACTGTTTCTTCGCTTGTTTCAAGTACTTCGTTTAGTGGGATCGTGGACAGCTGTAGAAGTAAGGGTAGATCGGGATCTTTACTACAAAATTACTGTGTACTTATATACCAGGAAAGCTTTACCCTCTCTTAAATGCTGGAGCTTTTTGCCAGAGTTCGCTATTGATGAAAGTTCTATATAAGTTTCAATAGTTGCTTCTTCCCCTTATAACATGAAGGCCCTTTTATTAGGCGCTTGCTTTCGTCACTGTTTCTTTTTTTAAGGGATGCCTTTTTGCTTACTTTCTTCCCCTTTTGCCGTTTTGTTTGCAAAGACAGATACGCCTTCGTAAAGTTCAGTAAAGCTGTCGATTTATCGTTGAAGGGCCCAAAGGATCTGATCTTCAGACTAAATGAGTGCAATGAACAAGCTCCATCTTCTTTTTCTGTTTGCCATATATTCTAACTACTTTCATAGTTTACTCATGCTTTAAATCACAGAACATTGAAATGATAATGAATTTGTAAAGTAATGAAATTGCTAGTTTTTAGGTCATTTAAAGAAATCCAAACCTATACACTTTTACACTCTCAATGGTCTTCAATAACAGGTAATTTATCACGTTTAAGGTGTTGAAGTACATACAAGTTACATTCCTAGGTTATGACACAAAACATGTGTTACAGTACTTTCTCATAAAGATTTGCTTTTGGGCCTCATTTCACTTTCTGATCCAGAGCAATAAAGCTGTATATTTATAAGAAAATCTCCATATCAGTCATTACACAATGTCTGAGAAGGCCACATTCCCTGGTGAGTTACAAACAGCCATTTCCCTATGTGTCATGCTACAGTACTCCATTCAGTTGCCGAAAAAATCAGTTTTCTTGGAATTTACAGTATTTTGTACTCCTGTTTCGTTTTCTATGCCCCCTCACTTCCAAATGGGAGTCAACAAGCATAGATATTCATCAAAAAACTGAACCTGTCTATATTTTATTTCAAAACCAGGTGCCAAATCCTAGCTTAGCAGAAGCTGATTCTGGATTTATGTTTTGATTGTGTTAATGTAAGAAAAAAATTAGTTCAAAAATGCTAACCCACAATGATGTACATGACATTCACTTGCAAAGTTAGGCTAAAGATAGTCGGTAGCATAACTTCAATTTCACTAGAAATTATAAAAGTTTAGTTCTCAGTAACTCTCTGTTCGTAGAAGATTAAATTATCATAATATAACAATTGTTTTGCCAATATCTTTGCTGAGAAATTACCAACCCAAGGATACGATTACGTGACTAATTGGATCAGAGCGCTTTTTAGTCTAAGTCTAACCATTTTTAAAAAGTTCACTTTTGTTTTTTACTGGACTAAACTTGTACGCAATACATACACATGCAGGTTAATGTACATTAACATTCGATAGATAGATAAATATGCATTAATCTTTAAACGATTTTTCTGTCGATCTTTCAAGTTTGCAATGTATTTCCTTTTTCAAGTCTACGATCTTGAATATCATTTTTGAGTAAGGTAATTTCCTTAATTTGCTTAACGTGTTCTTTCTGCAGCGTGAACCTTCCTTGTATGATATGACTTCCTTTGAGCTTTAAATAAGGTCAATTATTTATCACTTGGAACAGATTAAGCTTCTTTTCTTGCTGTCTAGTATAATACCCGTCTTTATTGAGGTGGATTTATGAGAGACATGACGAAGAAGTTCCAAGATAAACTTGCTGATGCATCGACAACCGCTGAAGAAACTCTTGGAAATATTCGAACCGTCAAGTCGTTTTCACAAGAACTAAAGGCTTCGAAGATGTACAATAAAGATATTGATAGCAGCTATCATGTTGGATCTCAACTTGCCTTGGTCTATGGTATGCCATTGAAGTTTTAAACGAGTCAATGTAAAATTAGTCTTGGTTATACAGGTTTTTCTATGTAGTATTTGTCTGCGAATTGGGTGAATTAAGAGATGGCTGAATTGTATGAGGAGCTGACTGGATTTTTCAAACTATTTCTGAAAAAAACGATAGATCTATTACGCTATGATATTTATATGAAATTTTAAAAAATCTTATCAGCACCCTTTCAGGTTACGGTGTACTTTGTTATATGTGACTGTTCATAATCACTCAAAAGTGTTATCTTTCACCCGATACTCATAAAACATTAAGTATGAAATATTCGGTAATTATAAACAGATATTAGAAAATTTTTATCAAGAAGTATATCGAAAGAAACAGAAGTGGAAGAATGTACCTTTGATCGGTTCTGGTTTTTTGACAATCAATAACTGCTAACCCCTCACATAGTTGAAAAGTTAAAGAAATAAATCCTTCACCCTTCAAAAGAGTTCCTTTTTGGTTTTTTGTCAACGAAACGAAATAAGACTTTCCTTCCAGGATAATTTTTTTGGGGGTTGCCGCACTCATTTGAGGATTTTCTCTCGCTTGCCTCCCAAACAAAATGTTGAAATTGTCGTCAAATGTTTCAACTCATGCTAGGCCCTCGAGCGTCTTGGCTCTTGGTGGCCTATGAAAACATTCAAGTTTATTTGGATTTGTTTCTTTTTGGAGCAGTTTTCTGCCTGATGCTCGTGAGAACCTGTTAATTAATTCTTGTTGTTTAGGTTTTTGTTGTGCTAAAAATTGTATCTTTATTTTAGGCTTCTGGAATGCGTTGATGTCCATTTTTGCTCAGGTATTTTACGTCTCGCTTTTTATTTAAGAGATTAAGTCAGTCATTTGAAATGATTATTTTTTGCTTTTTAATGTACTGAGTCTTATTAATGTACTGAGAATATTTGTGATAATTCAATTTTCTGGCAGAGTTTTGAAAAATATGTAAATCTTACCCAAAAATATAAAACTGAGAATGGACATTAACGTTATCTTATTTAATAGCACTAAATTAGCTCTAATCTTCCTGAATATCAAATTATGGCTACAAATGCTTGAATTTATAATCAAGATCGAAAGCACTTTTATTTTTTCCTTTTTGGAGTTTGCCAGTCAAACAATGTTCTAGTTGATGAGATTTTGAGACAATAATACAAAAAATCACACAAAAAGTATAGAAAGAATTTCGAAACATCCGAATTTTCGACATCATGAAATGAAAAGATATGATGTTCAGAACGTTATGTTTTCTTCTGCTACTAGGCAAGCAGGCAAACGTTCTTTTCTTGTATTTTAGGGAGCAATTGCCTTAGTTTTATGGTATGGTGGGAAGCTGGTTCACACTGGAGATATGACTGTTGGGACACTGACATGTTAGTATATGCAAAGTATTTTGCTTTTCAACTCTATTCTTTTATCTTAATTTCACAATTGACTGATTTAGATTAATATTAGATTAGTACCAGCGCGCTATGTTAACACACCCTTGTTTTCTTGTGACGATTGTCTGTCTAATATAATCATATATAGCTTCAAATGGTTATAAGTATTGTTCTAATAATTATTATTTTCCATCAAGATTGCTATCCCTTGATGTTATTTTATTGTACCGAATATAAATCTTGTAAGGGCAACAGACATTCCAGACCAGCACACACATTCTTTCTGGGAATGTCTCAAGTAGTCTATGTTCAGTTGTATATTTCTAGCCAGAAGTCTTATTCTTATTTTCAAAGTCCTAAAATAGTTTGATTGGTGAAATGATTGGTTAATGACTTTAGATCATCTGAGTGTATTATATTTTGAGAAAGTATAATGTTGGTACTACATGTAGGCCGACAGTTCAGAAAAACACGTGACCTTGCTACTCATGTCATGTACAAAGGTTTGTGAAAACGAGATGAAAAAGTAGGTTTCTAGAAAATCTGGCAAATTTTGGCCCTTGATTTGAGCAGATTCAATGAAACAGTACCAGGCCTTTATTTTGTTGCCAAAAACGTTGTAATATGACTTGCTTTGCCTGAGTCTTGAGCCGCCTTTTCTGTCATGTTGAAAACCATTAGTAACTATGCTGTTGGCTGCGTAAATGTTTGGAAATATTGGTGTTGCAACTGATGTTAAAGCAACGAAAGACGATGTCCTTGGTCATAGCTCATTTTAAGAAACATTTTGTAGCATATGCCAGTTTGTTCTCTTCATCAAACAGAGATCTCTCATATTCTTCTTTGCAAGCTGACCTGCAAATGCTTTGCGAGTGTATTTGTAAGCCGAAAACCTTAATAGACCAGAGGGTGGAAGGGGACCACCACCACCCGAACGGAGAATTTATGAGACCAATCTATTCTGGTTCAGTTTTTTGCGTAGATTTCGAATTTGGGTGTTGATCAGCGGTTTAAGGGGGCTTTCCCGAGATATGGGAGGTCTAAAGACAAATTTTGGGGTTAATTGCTACAAATTTGGTTTCCTCAATAAATTTCAATAAGATAAAGATAGATATGTTATTTGACTATATCTATGATTGTTGGCTGATATTTGAAAGTGTTTTTCTATATTTAGAATTTAAGGGAGGTGTAAAAAATTAAATTTTTTCCAAAAGAAAACATTACTGTTACAATATATTTGAATATTATCAAGTCTACCCAAAAAATTATTCATCTTCATCCTTATCCTCAGACATATTATCAATGCCTCTTCTTAAGTCTTCCACTTCTACAAGATCGTCAGCCTCCACTAGTAGTTTCGAACATCCTCTGGATTTTGCGAAAGAAATTCATTAAACAGACTTAGAAAAGTCACCTTTCCACACGTGGTGTACTTGAGCCTTCTTGCTCTATCATTGGTTAAGAGGCTTGTCTGCACATATGTGCAATGTAATTTGCAACGCTTGATGTATCTTAAGAGGCTGTTTTTGCATGGTGGCTGCAAAGAGAAGTCTGTGATTTTTGACCCCTTGAAAAAATTTTCCAAAAATTTTTCCGTTGAATATCATGAACAGACGATAATCTCTTTTCTCCAAACAACGCACACGTAAACCTTTCAATACCCCCAATTACATAATTTATAGGATTACTTGATGCCCCTAGCTTTGCGAAAGTTGTGACGAATGCTTTTGTGCCTTGCATAAGCTTCCAACTCTTTCAAAAAAATACCTACCTACCTACCTCCCTTTCTACCTTCCTCCCTATCTACTTACCTACCTACCTCCCTATCTCCCTTTCTACCTACCTACTTACCTAGCCACATACCCACCTATCTATCCATCTACCTACCTGCGTTCCCGGACATCGAGCAGCCCCACTTCATGTACACACTCTTCGTACATGAAAATAACAAAATATAGTCATTTCCACTAAATGCATGCAAGCCAAGCGGGGCTTCTTTTTGATAGGCCGATAATTCACAAGCAGCTAGAGCGAAGATTTTTCTATTTTTACCTGTCCCACTATCAATAAATATTTAGAAATGAGGTTCCTGCCTAGCAAGCAAGATAACAAGGATGTTAATATATTATATATCTCCAAAACAAGAACGCAAATCGTTTCTCGACCTTCGTTTTGTTGGAGAGCATGATGTAGAAGGAAGCAAACTTAAGCTAGTGATATTTATGCAGCGATATCTATATATATTTTTCTCTTTGCGAGAAAAATTGATCACTCTGTTCCCTAAATGACAGCCTTGACGAACCCATACTTCTTTAACCAACTCAAGCAACCGCTCTTTATTCTGTCTTTTCCTCAGAAACGCAACGAAGTTAGGAGGAATCTTTATGTTTGGCGATTTGATGAAGAAATGGTTGTCTGCATTCTTGATGAACCAATCGGCATGTTCGAATGCAATATATACACAGTTGTATTGTGTCCGTAATTCATTCAGCAACTTCGTTGCAAGCCTCCTGAAAGTGTCCGGTATTCTAACTGTAGATCGAATGGTGGCACCCAAATCAACAACAAAGCAAATTGCCTATCTCCTCTTTCCTGTTCTTCATAAGGCTGGTAACTGTGGTATTTATATGTGCCTCATACTTCTAAGTTCCTGAGCTTCACGAGACAGCGAGGAAGGGGATACTATCACCGAACTCGGCTTCTAACCCCTTTTTAACTTAGTCTGCTTTTCTCGTTAATGAAACAATACATTCCAATTAAAGTCTTCATTGCAACGGATCGGTTCATGATTTGTTATATATGAACACACAGGAAAGAGTCAGCTTACACTGTTCTTCGCTTGTTTCAAGTACTTCGTTAGTGGGATCGTGGACAGCTGTAGAAGTAAGGGTAGTCGACTTCTTACTACAAAATACTGTGTACTTATTATACCAGGAAAGCTTTACCCTCTCTTAATGCTGGAGCTTTTTGCAGAGTTCGGCATGATGAAAGTTTATATAAGTTTCAATAGTTGCTTCTTCCCCTTATTAACATTGATAGGCCCTTGTTATTAGGCGCTTGCTTTCGTCACTGTTTTCTTTTTTAAGGAGATGCCTTTTTGCTTACTTTCTTCCCCTTTTGCGTTTTGTTTGCAAAGACAGATACGGCCTTCGTAAAGTTCAGGTAAAGCTGGCGATATCGTTGAAGGGCAAAGGATCTGATCTTCAATGACTAAATGAGTGCAATGAACAGCTCATCTTCTTTTTCTGTTTGCCATATATTCTAACTACTTTCATAGTTTACTCTTGCTTTAATCACAGAACATTGAAAATGATAATGAATTTGTAAGTAATGAAATTGCAGTTTTTAGGTCATTTGAAAGAAAATCCAAACCTATACACTTTTACACTCTCAATGGTCTTCAATGTTAACAGGTAATTATCGTTTAAGGCTGTGAAGTACATACAAGTTACATTCCTAGGTTATGACACAAAACCATGTGTTACAGTACTTCTCATAAAGATTTGCTTTTGGGCCTCATTTCCTTTCTGATCCATAGCAATAAAGCTGTATTTATAAGAAAATCTCCATATCAGTCATTACACATGTCTGAGAAAGCCACATTCCTGGTGAGTACAAACAGCCATTTCCCTATGTGATCATGCTACAGTACTCCATTCAGTTGCGAAAAATCAGTTTTTCGTGGAATTTACAGTATTTTGTACTCCTGTTTCGTTTTCTATGGCCCCCTCACTTCCAAATGGGAGTCAACAAGCATAGATATCATCAAAAAACTGACCTGTCTATATTTTATTGACATTTATATTAGCCCTAAAATCGGACTTTAGAC